GTAAATATATATATTTTGATTACCCAAAATTGAGTTGGCCAAACAGTGTAAATCACGTCTCCAAAGAATCTATGAATATACAAAAACTTTGCAAGAGTAACTTTATGATGCAGTTGTTAAATATATTCGATTTGGCTCGAGTTGGAGAGAGAAAAGAAGGAAAAAAAAACTTAAAGCCAACGGCATTTTATATAGATAAAGTAAAAGCAAAATTTAGAACGATGAAATAATATCCACAATGATGTAATAAACAACTGTGACTATCCCACTGCCCCTAGTCTGGCTGAGGCCAGCACTCAAGCTATCAATTTTTGGGGTCAATTACTTAAATAACAACAAATGCTATGCTCTTTACATCAATGAGACTATCTCAAACCGACAGAGATCTTATAGAATTTTCTCTTAAGAAGCATCTCATATTTAGCTCATATTTTTCAATAACCAACGAGAGACGCATAAACTGACCGCCCGAACATAAAAGAAATGACTGAATTTTCAGCATGTTGTGAGCCATTTCTGGCATATGCCAACAGCCATGCATATAGCATATATCTGCGCGTATGTGTGTGTGTGAGTCCAGCTGAAGCCGTAAAAAGAACAATCCAAGCCATATATAAAATGAGGAGCCAACATTACCAAATATAAAAGCCAACCAGCCAACGTTGCCCATCAAACTTCATCAACGAGCTGAGCTGAGCTGGTGACAAAAGTTTTCGAGAGCAGCAGGCAGCCAGCTGGCCACGCCCCTTCAGCCCAGCATCGCTCTGGTTGCATAAAACAATGTCTCCCATGTCCGATGCAGCACGTAGTTTCGACTTAATGCCCATGCCCTGAGCTGGGCTATGTTCTGCCCTGTTGTCCAGTGTTCGGTGTAGTGTCGTAGTGGCTTGTAGTCAGTTTTTTGTTTCAATGGCTGCGAGAAGCTGTTGACAGACCAACAATCAACTTGGGAATTTCTGTCACCAAAGTGCCATCGCCCAGCATCGAATCCACCTGAAAAACTTTCAACACAACGGCCAGCAAAAGTGTTTGCCGTGTCTCGATTTTCTAACGGCAATCACCTAGCGCTCTTTGATGATAGCACAACAACAACAAAAATAGCAGCAACAAAAACTAAAATGGCTTTGTGGGGCGCGTGTAAAAACTTTTAGCTTGGCAAATATTTTTCCGCTTAGTTGCGTGCCATGTGTCGCACTGGCTGCCACTGATTAAGTTTCGTCAAAGTTTGCTCAGGATGTGATCCAAGTATGTGTGTGAGTGTCCTTTGTAAGCACACGCACTCTCACACACACCTAATTACTATAGAGATTTCCCATATATAAATATATACTTAAAGGTCTAACCTGCTCTGTCCATCAAGCACTTTTGACTTTTGAGTTTTTAATATGGGTTCATCATTTGCGGTGCCCGGACCGGACACACCGGCTAGCCCCCAAAGTGCCTCACCTGTATATTTGTATGCTCTGCTTGTTTTCCCTCCAACTTCCTCCACTCATTGTTGTACTTGTTGTTCTTGTTGTTGGTTTTCTGGTCTCGTTTAGCATTCAAACTGGCAGCAAGCAATTTCCCCAACTGCCTATAGTGTCATTTATTTCCTTACTTTATTTTGGCTTTTGTTCATTGCTTTTCGATACTCTTGCAGAGATGGAGAGACTAGTTACATAATGGAGCTAAATGTAACAGTTCTGTTGCAGAAATGAGTATCAAAGAGATATACTTTATAAATTTTTGATATTTTCAATTCGAGACTTGAGCCACTGTCCCACTAAGATCAAGTGTAATATATTAAAACGAGTATTTACGTTCTTATGAATATATGTGTAGAAAGCTCAAGCGTTAACATTGCCTATTAAATATATAAATTACATGATATATTTTTCATAAATTGATCGATATTTTCTATTGCATTTCCATGACCAATAATTAGTCACGATTCAAATTGGCAAAATGGCGTTTTCGCTCTTCGTCCATTGAAGATCATGGCGACCATGTGAGAAGAGCCTAACTAGCCATCTCGCTCCCACCCAGCAGCACTGTGGAGTCCAAAGTGTGAACTAAGTGCAGCAGCTGCGAAATTTTTCTCCATCTCGCTCTCTCTCTCTCTCTCAGCGTAACTATGTTCTGCAATAGCGATATTTGTCTCGCTCTCTCTTACACTTAAGAAGTAAGCACAAACCAAAATGCACTGCTAAGGCGCAAACTCACTCGGATAATATTTGTATGACAACTAATTTAATTACTTTATTATAATTACTTATTAT